GCAGCCAGAAGGCTGAAAATATACTGTTACATAATTGGGGAATGGGTCACTTGATTGCCTTTATTTTTAGGGGATTAGCCCACCCAGGCACCGGTCACTGACCCATATCAGAGCCGGGGGGAATTTAATAATAATACTGTAATAATCATAATTATTCATAGCAAATAAAATTTATAATAAAAAATAAACAATTAAAAATAAAATAATGATAATAACAACAACAACAACAACAACACTGTAATAATGATAATATTAGAGAACCATAAAGAGATACAAAAACAAAATCAATAGTGAGAAACGATATATGTTGTGTTGTCAAAGTAAGAGAAACAATTAAGACCCTGCAATTGTGTGTAAATGAGGCAGAGAGTCAGATCAGCAACCTGGGACTAGGTCACAATTTTCGTAATGTCTTATGGCAGCAGGGTCTACCATTAGACAACACATTATACTTCCAATATCTTCCCAGGCAGTAGTACCTCCCTGTTTGGTAGCTGCCTACTACCTTTAAATAATATACAAGTAACATACAGTAAGTGACACAAATATGATGTATAATAACAAGGTGGGGAGAAAGTTATACTACAGGGCATTTCAACATAGTGACAGTGCAAAAAGGTAAGATCGGCTGGGATTGAATACATACACTGGATAATTATGAGTTGTTAATAATTTTTACAATGGTTGGGACTGGGCTGTTGTTATAGCAATCTGTACTTGCTCGTATGGGCTGGATGCTGTTGTGGTGTCGAACAGCAATTCGCAGACGAGGAATCTCGGGTGGAAGTAGGAGCCGGTGTCCAGGATGGTGCAGAAGCTACTCACCAAATTTGCAGATGAGGTTACAGTGATGATCAGAGAGAGCTGAGAATGTCAGTGTGTTGAGCGCTTCTTGATATGTGGAGTAGGAGGGGAGAGAATGATCTTGCATGCCCTCTTCTGCATTTTTCTAGGTGTTCCCATTGTGTGGCATCTAGGGAGGAAGACCAGGCAGGGGAGGCATAGGTGAGCTTGGGAAGTATGAATGTTGAGTTAGTACCGAGGAGCTCGGGCGCAGGAACTCTGAGGGACTTGAGTCGGTGGAGGTGAAAACTGGAGGATTTGACAATTGTGTTGACGTGTGTTTTCCAATTTACTTTGTTATCTATAGTGATGCTGAGGAGCTTGGTGGAGTCTACAACCTGCAGTGTGTTGGGGCCCGAAGTAATGGAGGGAGATGGGACAAGGTCAGAGGAGAGGTTGATGTGTACAACCATGGTCTTGGTATGGTTTATGGCAACATGGTTGTTGGTGGCCCACTTTTGGAGATTGTTCAATATATTCTGGAGGGCGGTGTAGTCAGGAGCCGAGTGTTTCACACTGATCCCAATGGTGGCTTCGTCGACATATTTCCAGCAGGCAGAGGTCTCTTAGGGCAGTGCTTCTCAAACTATCTGGTGTGGCGGACCGGCAGGTTTTTTTTCCAATGTACCAGGGACCGGTACCATATTTGTGCCATATTATCATTTGCTTACTATCTGAGAAAATATTATTTGAACATTCGTAGTATTATTAATTTATACCGGAAAAATATAATGAATACTGTATAATAAAAGTTGACACATTTTTTTTTTTTGTAAACAAGTAATACAATAATGTATTACAATATAAATAAAAAATATTAAAAAATCAAACTAGCAAAGCCTTCTACCAAAGATATTATAAACATATGTATATATAAGTAATAAAATGAAAAATTATAATGAATAAAGTAGGTTAAAAAAATTATATATTTTAGTTATTTTAAACCCCTAATGCATAAAGACGTTAAAACAAAGATTGAAAGGAATAGGCAACATTAAATTGAAGACATAACAATTTTGAAAATATGTTGTAATACTAAAATATGAAGTTGATGATTATTTTATTAACACAATAATAGGCATGTTAAAACCTTAACCTTTACTAATGTGAAAGGTGAGCCTGCTTCTTTGTCAGCTTATCCAATCGTGGTTCAATTGAGGACAGTGCCACGCGCAATGGAGAATGAATACTATGCCTGTACTTTGTCTTAATAACACTCATGGTTGAGAAGCCAGTCTCGCAGAGGTATGTTGAAGGAAATGGGAGAAGAGTTTTCAGAGCAATTTCAGTAAGCTCAGGATATTCTGCTTTCACTTTTATCCACAAGGAACCAAGTGATGTTGTAATTTTGAAACTCATCTTCAATCCTTCGTCAGCAGCCAGCTCCAACAATTTATCCTCCATAGTGACACTTAAGTCATCTCTCATTGGCATAAACGGATTTCGGATCCATCCATTCCCTTTCCGTGGATTTTCTTCTGCTGGAAAGTAATGCTGAAAACGTTCTGCCAAATTCGTCAAGTGTTCTCTGATGACAATTCATAGATGTAACATTAAGGTCTTCGCCTGCATCGGCGATGACTGCTGCTAATTGGTGAAACATGACATAACAATCTCTTAACACTCGACTCTTCCATGCTTCTAGCTTTCGTATTTAGTCTGTCGATCTTGTCTGCCATTGTAAAACACGAAGCCATCCTTCCCCGCATGGTGGTGTTGAGATCATTAAAGATGGCAAAGATATCAGCCAAATAAGCCAGCTTGGCTAGCATATCCACATCTCAGAACAATTGTGACTAATTTGGTTTTTTGTCTTGAAGAAACTCGGCAAACTCGTTTCGTAGCTCAAATACTCTTGACAGGAATTTTCCCCTCGATAACCAATGTACATCGGCATGCAATAGGAGCTGTTTATGATCAGCTCCCATATCATCACATAATGCAGTGAATAGTCTCGAATTTAAAGCACAAAATTTTGCTTCACATTCAAGCTATATAATATATTATATGCCTGAGGGTCACAACACCATATTGTTGGAAAATTTAAGGTTGCAGCCAAAAAAGGTTGGGAACCACTGCTGTACACTACAAAGACCTGTATGTGAGTACAGTACAGTATTGCTTCTAATTATGAAAATTCACGAATACATTTTTTGTATTTTGTTCCATCGCTTTGATATATGAACAAAAACCCTGCTTTTGCAGAAATTTTATTTTTATTTTTTGTAGCATTGGAAGAATTTGAGAGGCATTTGAAAGCATCCTGTGCTGAACACAGACAGTAAGCAGTGTACAGTACAGTAGTACAATACCAGGCTAGTGTGGGGTAACATTTTTGTGCTTTTATATATACAATACAGTACATAAACAGATAATACAGTAGGTCATATGGAGGTGCTACTGTATGTATATTGATTTAAAAGTATGGCTAACAGACCACCAAATAAGAGGAAAAAATTTATAACTGATTACTGTACTTCAATTATGTTAATATGGAGGAAGAAATTGATGAATCTATGCTTCTGTCACACACAAACCAACAAGAACATGGCAATGACCACAACTCAGGCCCCACACAACAGGAGGAGGAATTTGAAAGTGCTGTCTCACCCAATAATCTTGATTGCGACCATGGATGTGCCACCAGTTGCTGTGAGTGTTTTTTCATGGGGCCAACACATCAGGAGGAGGAATCTGACAGTGATATCACATTGCACTGTACAGGTACTTTAACAGGCAATGTCCTGTGCCAGGGTGGGCTATTCTCTCCCCCCCCCCCTCCAATCATAGAAATTGCTCTTCACAAACAATTGCTTAAAATTTTGTATTGTATGTTTACGTTTAGGGGAAAAACGGCATATTTACAATTTTTTTTTCCAGGAATGTGTCTCTTAAGTAAATTGAAATACTCCTGTACTGTACTCCTGTACTGATCTCATGGCTAGATAGGGCTGACATAATATAGACCTGTTTCATGTATGGGAGTGAGTCACAGGATGAAGCAAGGGGATATGATGTACACTGCTAGACATTCTGTTTCCCATGACCTTAGATGGTCAATGCACACCTTCATTAGTGTGCACTAAGTTGTGGTGTTTACACAGATGTTAAATGATGTATTGAAGCAAAGGGTTTGAAATTTAACAAATACAGTATGTATAAAGGGTTGTTGTCTCATGTCATGATCTAGTATCTGTGTTGATATGTTTTTCAGTATGTTTGTATACTACAGTGCAGTACCATCAGTATTTCCTCTTATACTTTTTACTTTATTGTTATCCTCTTTGCCACTGATCGGCTCGTTGGCCGCTTGGACGGTCTGTCATATCTCAGTTATGCACTGGCTCCTGAATGTATCTGAACCTGCTCCAGTGTTGATCAAGTCTGGTCTTGAAACAGCTCACACTCGGTACCTTCACTACACTCTCTGGCAAATTGTTCCACAAGTTCACAATTCTCACCCCTGAAAAAGCTCACCCTCACAGTTTTCTGGACTTGTGGCTTCTTCAACCGTGAGCTATGACCTCTTGTGAGGCAGGCAGTGGTAAGGGAGGCATGGAGGAAGAGAAAGTGACTGAAACAGAAATGGGAGATACAGTACCTCTTTTATTACAGTACTGTATTGCTAATAGTGTTGTGGTATCTATATTAATTATTTTTTTATCATTTCACCACTTATCAGCTTACAGGCTGTTCGAGCAGCCTGTCTGTTCTTTGTTACTTTATGACCTTTATTGTCCATTGTTAGTGCACAAGGCAACCGTATTCCTTGGAAAAAATTTAGTTGTTTGGAAGGGCCACACTGGATAACAGCTTTCTCACATTTGTCCAAGACTGGACATTGAAGTGAGATACAGTCCTGTTCTGTACATGTATTACTGCTAACAACAAACACCCTTATTGTTATTATTAATACAGTAATATTATTATTACGAACTGTATATAATTATTACCTGTATTATTATTATTATTATTTTTTTTTTATAGTTATAATTTCATATTCTATGAACAACTGACTTGTCAAGTACCTTGTGTGCAGCACTGCATTTGTATAAATAAAATTAAAAAACTTGTAGGGTGTTTGAGAGCTGTGTTCCCACAGCAAGAGAACACAGTATCGTTTAATATTACAACAAAACTTGTGGTTGTTCCTGCAGCTGTGCACTCCAGCCAACACACCTGCTACACCCCCAGCCTTCCCAGATGCTTTAGCTGCCTTCTCCAAGATGTCTACTCAAGATAAACTTTCCACATCTCCATCAGGTAAGTCTGTGAATTTCACTTTAATTAGCTTTTCGTCCTTCTCATGTCCGCCCTCTTCCATCTCTTTCAGTGCATTTACTGTGACTAATACCATATACTGTAGTACATAATCAGTGACATCAACTTTACATCACTTTACCTTCACCACTACACATGTACAGTCCCGGACGAAAGTTCTCGCTATGGTGAAGGTGGATAGTGCAAAGTCTGCCCACCCTTACTGGACTAATAAATATGATGCATTTCTTTGTGTATGGACCTCTGTCCTGCATGGCAGTGAACAGTGACATTACCCACATGAATCTGACCTATATATAGTGTCAATGAATATGATGCATTTCTTTGTGTACGGACCTCTGTCCTGCATGGCAGTGAACAGTGACATTACCCACATGAATCTGACCTCTGTACAGTGTCAATGAATATGATGCATTTCTTTGTGTACGAACCTCTGTCCTGCATGGCAGTGAACAGTGACATTACCCACATGAATCTGACCTCTATACAGCATATAGCTGATAATGAATATGTTATATTTCTTTGTGTATGAACCTCTGTCCTGCGTGGCAGTGAGAAGTGATACCACCCTCAGTGTTAAAACCTGACTGAATTACTCAGAATAGGCAAACTGTACTACAAGCTTTGTCAATAAATTTGTTAAACTAAACTAAACGGGTCCGCTGTCCAGTCATCACCTCCACCCATCCCTCCTTCCCTACACACACACACACACACACACACACACACACACACACACACACACACAAACAAGCACCCTCGCAGTCCGACAATTGAGCTCTGATATTTTCATTTCTCAATAAGGACTAGGGAAAGTTGTCATTGTTTTGTTAATAAATTCACAAAACAATTTACTCAAGTTTTATATTATTTAACATACAGTAATAGGTTACATCATTATTAAATAATCATGACACAGTACAGAGTGTGTCTTGGTGGTTGGGGTTTGCAACAATATCAGAATCTTCCAAGCTGTATTGTCCCTCAGAATGGTAGCCAAAAAACTAATCACGAATGTGAGGAATAATATGGTTCATGAGAGAATGCTTTGTCACCCTCCGTGATAATAGTCTTATCATAGGGCCTACGGTCTACTGCATGTAACCTTGGCTTGATCCCTACAGTGGATGACTGACTTATGAGCAACACAATTAATATAAAAGTGTGACACAACAAGAAGTAGGTCACAACACCGATTGATTAGCGTTTGATGCAAAAATAAGATAAAAGTAGCATGACCATATTTTATTATTAGTTATACTCGTATAGGTAACCATGAATGTTGCCTACTTAATATTATATACAGTTCACTCAATATCTTTGTACAAGTACTGTATATAAATTTAGAGTTAAAATATAGAACAATGATTCAAACAATCTGTTCTTTTGATTACAGTACATAAATTGTGTATAACACATATTGTCAGCAAAATTATTCTATCAGTAGCCAGTCCAACCGCCCGGCTATTCAATGACGCCCTGTAGCTTGTTCGGCATGGATGCCACAAGGTCACGCACCAGCCCTGTAGTATTCCCATTGTCTATTAATGTGCACCATAAATTGACTGCTGGGCCATTCCTCTTCCATTTCCCACTTGTTGACCATGTATGCCCACATGTGCTCTATAACATTTATATCTGCTCTCTTGTTGGGCCATTTTAGGAGCTCTAGGTTGTTCTGCCTCGCAAACCACTGTTGAATGATGTGGGCAGTGTTTATAGGGTAACGGTCTTGGACAAATAAAATGGGCCCAGGTGGGAAAGGGTAATCCCCATCACTGAGGGATGGCAGGAAACACCCCTCGAGCAGCTCGATGTTTTTTCTTGCTGTAAACCTTCGCTCAATCTGGAACACAACGCCCATGCCGTGATGTGAAACCCAGCCCCAGACATTGTAGGTCACGTGTCCAGAACGGGCCTCGTCAAATGTGGTAGACCTGTCATACCTGCAAGCGTAACGAGTAACAATTAGTTAATGTTTATTGATAGATAATATACTGTATAAAGGACAGTAAATTGTGCATAATATAGAGATATAAAGTTTTTGTGAACCCCTTTATCTTATTTGCTGCTCTTTATGGTCAAACTACTGCACTATCACTTACGGTAATTACAATGATCTGCCTGACATAACATATTGCAAACATCATTCCTTGTATTATTGCATCTGCAGCAATGAATTTGGCCATGAGAAGTGCTCTGGAAAACCTTCGCATCTGTACTGTATATATCACTCGTTGCCAAAAATCTTTGTCTTTCTCACTGACAATGACACTGCCAATATTGAGTGTACAGTGAACCCTCACTTTACACGGTTAATTCAACCCATGGCGGCACTCGTAAAGTGAGAAACGCGTAAAGTGAACAACATAACATATGGGATTAATTGAAATAGAGACCGGGCCGACCCCCAAACTCCACTTTTTCAGACACAATACCTACGTTGTAGTAAAAATAACTTCTTAATTTTATGATGGTATGCACACAATTAATAATTAAGAGAAATATCAATAATATTAGGTTTTTTAACACTTACATTAGTAGAAAAGATGGCTGGGCACACGGGGATGGGAGGTTGGTTCCGAGGCAGAGGGCAGATTATTGGCCCTCACCTGTATCACTTGTATCAATTGTATCACTATCCACCACAGAGGCTTGCAGGGCATCTTTGTCAAACCCCTCAAAGTCCATATAAGTCCATATACTCACTATCATTATCACTATCACTGACTTGGGCCGGCTGTGGTGGGTGGCGGGTGAAGAACTCGGTAATGTTTTGATGACTGGGCGACCTTGTGCGCACCCTGCTCGCGCCACTCTCCGCGTAAAAGGGTACACACACCGCGGAAAGTGAGCATTCCGGTTTCGGCAGGGTACCGCGTAAACGTGGAAACGCGTAAAGTGGGACCGCGTAAAGCGAGGGTTGACTGTACTGTATATAATATTAAGTAGGCAACATTCATGGTTACCTATATGAGTATAACTAATAATAAAATATGGTCATGCTACTTTTATCTTATTTTTGCATCAAACGCTAATCAATCGGTGTTGTGACCTACTTCTTGTTGTGTCACACTTTTATATTAATTGTCATCCATTGTAGGGATCAAGCCAAGGTTACATGCAGTAGATCGTAGGCCCTATGATAAGACTATTGTCACGGAGGGTGATAAAGCATTCTCTTATGAACCATATTATTCCTCACATTCGTGATTAGTTTTCTGGCTACCATGCTGAGGGACAATACAGGTTGGAAAATTCTGATATTATTGCGAACCCGAGCCACCAAGAGACACACTGTACTGGGTCATGATTATTTAATAATGATGTAACCTATTACTGTATGTTAAATAATATAAAACTTGAGTAAATTGTTTCGTGAATTTATTAACAAAACATTGACAACTTTCCCTAGTCCTAATTGAGAAGTGGAAATATCAGAGCTCAACTGTCGGACTGCGAGGGTGCTTGTTTGTGTGTGTGTGTAGGGAAGGAGGGATGGATGGAGGTGATGACTGGACAGCGGACCCGTCATCCAGTAAGGGTGGGTGGACTTACCACCATCCACCCTTGACCGTAGTGAGAATGTTTGTCCTGGACTGTACTTCTGCACTTTAAGAATGTATAATAATCTTCTATTTTCTAATCTCTTTTACTTTAAAGGATTTGCCGATAACCAATGATAACTACATTTAGTCAACATCATAGAGCTTTTTTGTCAAGCTCTCAAAGTATTCGTAGCTGTTTTTCCAACCTTACCCAGGCTTAGCGTTTTGTAACCCTTACGTCGCCATAATATATTATGCAGTAATTAAATGGCACACCGGCCAAACTACAGTGGGGTATGCTATAACGAATCTAATTGGTTCTAGAACCTTGTTCGTTATAGCATTCGTTCGTTATAGGATTAATCCGTTCCAGGCCCCCAAATACAACCACTTAACACTGAAAAATATAATATAAAATTGTAAAAATTGTAAAAAAGTGCATAAATATGCATCTAAACCCCTGAAATAAAGAATATCATTATTACTTGTAATAAAAAAACCCAATAAATTATTAAAAAAAAAAATCGTTGTAGGAGTTTCGTTCGTTATAGCATTCTCAATTTTATAGGTAAAACCGTTCGTTATAGGAATATTCGTAGTAGAATCCATTCATTATAGCAAACCCCACTGTATATTTACCGTATATCTCGGCCTATAAGACGGAATTTGAACCTTAAAAAAATCAGCCCAAAATTAGGGGTCGTCTTAAATACCAGGTATAAAATTCTTACCTTCTATTTATTGTGGTTTAGCGTGTCAAGCGTGGTGATGGAGAACATCGTAAAACACTCACATGGTCCTACCACTAATTACTTTATACTGAATCTTACGTTTGGGAAGCCAGATTAAAAATAAGATTACCAGTAGTATATTAAAATAATGAAAATGTATTATAAACCTGTCTAACATACCGTAAAATAACAACATACCCCGGTAATAAACGCAGCTATCATCACGCACTGCCCGTCATTTGCCAGTGACGAAACAAAAAAGGGAAAGTGTTTTTTTTTTTTTTTCATCCAGTGCTTGGTGTCACAAAACACTTTTAGGGGTCATTTTCCCGCTTGCCTTTGTGTCCGAGTTGGCCAATAATGCATATCTTTACTGATCATAATGCATATTTCCCATAAATAATTCAGTTAGACTATTTTACTTGCATTACTCTTCATAAGAAGTTCTCAGAGACACACCCACGCAGACTGTCGTCAAGCTTTACCTTGGGAGACCACGTAGGTTTTACAAATAATTATCGGAATAATAATTCCACAAATAAATATACGTATAACACAATCATAGCATTACTGTATTATCGTTTTTTTTTAACAGGGATTAGCCCACCCGGGCACAAGTCACTGACCCGCATCGGGGTCTGGGGGGTGAAAATGTAATAATAATAATAATAATTCATAGTAAATAAAATTTATAAAAAAAAAT